AGTAATTCACTGATGTAGTAAGGCACTGTTCCATTGAGAGCTTTGTAGACCAGTAGGAGAATTTTAGAAATTATACGGTAGCAAACAGGTAACCAGTGGAGCTGTTTTAGGACAGGGGTGATATGATCAAATTTCCCAGTATGTGTAACAACTCGAGCTGCTGTATTTTGAATAGATTGTAATCTTGAAAGTAGATGTTTTGGAAGACCATATAGCAGTGAATTGCAGCTATCTAATTTCGCAGTAACAAAGGCATTATTTACCCGCATTCACCTTATCTTATTTACGTTACTCAGTGTTTCTTCTTCATAGCAATAGTAAACTTGTGACAGTTTGATACAAAAACAAGTATGGAGACATGGGCAAGACTTCTGCACCACAAACACACATCATCACGTAAAATGATCAGAAAGTAACAGTAACAGTAACATCTTAATGTCAACAATGCTGAAAGTTTCTGAAACTTTGCAACGTTAGTGAGGATAAGAGTTAGTGAAGATTACCACTCTTGACCAAGGGTTTCCCAGATGTTGGTGAACCTGTGCTTTAACGCCGACTGAATTACAAACAAATATAAACAACATTCAAAAGTTTTTTAACATTGTTACTGGCAACAGTGACAAACTTTTTCAGATGCGCATCCCGAAATTATTTTATACTTTTCAAAACAGGTACTTCATATAAAGTCAGTCCAATGTGGAGATTTTCAGGTGCATTCTCAGGAAGGTTTGATGCACAGGTCGTAACTTGGCTTTAATGTTGTGCAGAATGACAACTGCATCATCAGAGAAATGTGGATGTCATGGTTTAATGCAATTTTCCGGATCGATGTGGTAGAACTTTGCTGTTTCCTTATGGGATACTTTCCATGGCCCATGTTGGTAGTCCGGATCTGGGTAACGCCATCGTTTGTAATGACATAAGGCCAAATTGTACGGTGGAATGCATGTTGATGGGAATTCATTGTGGCACATTTCGCACAGCATTTGATGCTCCTTCTCATTTTCCACCTTTTTCTTCTTCTTGTACTCCTTGTCATCTAGAAAGAATGTTAGGACAAATGGGTTTTCGTTCTGGTGTATTTCTGTAAACATTCTGCTTTGCACAAGAGGTAGAGAGCCAGAGACAGTGACTGTAGAAAGACAGGCAGACCTTTCTTCCTCGTGGTCATAGACAGCTGTTCTCCACACTGCTCCCCGTCTTTGTATGGTGTTGGAATGGCCATTCTTCTCACCAGCTCCTTTCGGTGCATCTGACGAAACTGAGTTGGTAAAGTTTGGGATCTTTGTGCTGCATCGTTCCCTCCACTGAAGAAACTTTTAAGGTAGCCTAAGTTCTCTGCAGCCACTACAGAGTGGGCACAAATTTGAATCGAAGAGTAGTTGTAGCAGTCGCAGGTGACCTTCCCTCCAGCCAATTCCTTCTCGTAATGAGGTCTGTCTCCTCTTCTACTTTTACCACTGATATTGGGTGGATTTTGGTCATGTGCTAGGGAACAAGTTGATCGAGAGTGTCTCAAAATAACTTAACAGGTACAGATAAGGCCTTTGGTTTATAATTATTTTCATCCATTTACATGTAATAACAGTACATTTTTATCGGTTGGTTCTGAATAAGATACTGGGTTTGTGATCAATGTTTCGTTTACGGCTTTAGGAAACAAAGTGCATGTATGAATTTCCCGGAGTCCCAGAGTGAAATGTTCTGTTTTGGTGTCTTGTTTGTCAATTTTCGTGTAGCAAAAGTGAAAGAAACAACAAACATCTTGACATCTGTAGAGCAATATCTTTGAAATATATACCAACAAAGAAAGGTTTTGTGACGAAAGTGTGACCTTTCTATGTCAACTTGTTTGTTTTGAGTGTTATGCAAATTCAAAGTGTCACAAAAAGCTGAATCTGATCAGACTCCCTTTGCCATTTGAATGACTGAGATTTTTTTGAAAGGGATTTCAGCAGCCATTCAAATGGCTGAACATTTTTCCACACAGATAACCTCTGCCGTTTGAATGGATGAAGATATTTTTAAACAGATAGCAACAATCATTCAAGGGGCTGCCTTTTTTCAAATGGATAACCTCAGCCATTCGAATGGATAGCAGTAGCTGTTTGAGCGGCTGAATATAATTCTGAACAGATAACCCCAGCTGTTCAAATGGCATCTGATCAATCTTGAATAAATCACAAACGGAACGGATGAGAAACTGCAAGTGAACGGTTTTTAGCCGTTCGAACGGATACCTGTTAGGGTACATTTTTGTGTGAGACGTCACATATATCAAATCATATCAATATAGTACAATATCATGCTATATCATATCAATATAGTACAATATCATATAGTACATTACATGTATTTGTACCAACTCCGTGACCTTGGCATTTTAACCTTTTCCATTTGGCCGAAAAACAGATTTGATACATATTTTTTATTTAATGATTTACCAAGTATTTACAACAGAGCAGTCTACCACACCTCATTTGAAATTAAGCAATCTGATTGGTAAGCTATTTTCATCCATTTTACAATATGCATCTTGCACAAAGTAGATGACAAATCAATGTCATCCATCCAGGACTTCTGGGAAAGTTAAATGGTTTTTACCTATTACATGATTCATGGTATATGATATTCCAGGACTTAAGATATGATAAATATGTAAAGTATAAGCTACTGTCAAATCATTTCATTTAAGTTAATAGACATTTGACAGACACCACTGCTTGTTGTATTCAGTTCTTTGTATGATCAAGTTTCAGGTTAATAAATGAGGGATTGCATAAGTCTTCTCATATTAAAAAAATCTGTTATAGTTTTTAATAACAAGATTCTACTTTTTCACATTGAGTTTGTTTAATCTGAAACAACAAACAGTAAATTGTACTGCATATGAAATTATCTCTTGGGTAGAGATTTACAGTTAGTTGTACCCATTAGAGTTCGTATAACAACTTCAAGCGCCTTATCTGCAACTATAATTTTATGTGTAATTTGTAGGTTATCGTCTATAAACAATCATTAGGTAATATTATATATACATAATTATTTAGCCATGTAGTATTTTTACCTTATACTTTTACCTTTCCTCGGAGATATTAGCTAAGTCTAGCTACTCTGTAAATTCGAAATTAAATAGAAGTGTATGTATGACTGTCTCTGTCTGTCTGACTGTCTGTATGCATGTATGTATAAAGAAGGTGCATATTACAGGCAGTTTTCTATTGAGAGTAATTATAAGGGGCATTTTGTTGGTTCCAAGGGAACTGTCCCAAACGGCAAGGTACATGTATCAATCAGAATAGGCTCAATTGTAGCTCGAAGATGTGATTCCAAATTAGTGTTTGTAGGACAAATGCTGAAAGCAATATGTTCTTATTTTCTTATTTTTCTTCCTTCTCTCTTTCAGTGTTGAATCATCTCCTGCACTTCAAACATCTTCTATGTTGGACTGTTTGACGACAATCCAAGCCATAATCTCTTTTCTTCAGAAATCCAGTACTGAACAAAGACTGTGCAACCTGTTTGACCAAATGGAGTTGTGTTGCATTCAAATGCAAAGTAGTGATGATAAAAATGGCTGTGGTATTGCTTGCCAAGCTGTTCATAAAACTGTAAAATCATGGAAGGAATTGATTAAGGAGATATTTGTGGATCTTTGTGGTGTGCTGTTTGATGGTACGTGCCATTTATTGTTGCTTAAATGTTGGTGTTTGATTAACAATAGAAAACTTCAAAATCCACCAGGCCTCAGTATAAGCAATTGCAATCCTAACTATAGCGATTCAAGAAGGAGATTGTTTGGTATTTCAGTACCAAACCAGAAGTGTGGAGAAAGGGAATTGGCAAAGATGAGTGAAAGTGCTGTTGACCAATTCTGTTTCACTTACATTATGGAGTATTCCATTTCAAATTTTCACTAAATACCAGAAAATCAGACTCTGTTAAGTGCTTAAAAACTCATTTATTGAAAATGATCTTTGCAGCGCAGCAACATTTAGACCATTTTAAGACTTAGCCACTATATCTATATTTAATTTTTAATGTAATTGTAATTTAGCTATTCGCGTCTCTCTCGTAATGTTAGGTTTTTAAAATTTATATTGTATGTTTGTATTCATAGTATTGTTATCTCTTAGAATTTCATCATAGCTTTCAATGTTTTCATTAGGTTTGTAATTTTATTTTGCGAGGGCACCCTTTGGCTATTAAAAGTGTTAACCCTCTTTAATTAAAGTCTTTATTATTATTATTATTATTGTTGTTAATATTATTATTATTATTATTATTATTATTATTACCATTACCATTACTATTACTGTTACTGTTGTTATTATTATTATTATTATTATTATTATTATTATTATTATTATTATTATTATTATTAAGAGAAACCATAAAGACTTACCCTTATAAATAGTTTCGATATCTTATCATATTGTATTATATTTTTAGGTTTATTTTGTATATTTGTAATTTTAACGAGTTGTAAAGTATGTCGCAATTAAGCCACTTCGGGGGCTGCAATGATTTTACTTAATACAGCTAGCTATCCATCAATCAGTCCACTATCCATCAACTAGTGGTACATGTAATTAGGAATTGTACAGATTTTATTGAATCAGCCATCCATCCATCCATCCGTCAATCCAAGTGCCCCTATGAAAAAATTCTTCGATATCCTTTTTTTTACATTTTCGTACACAATATGTCTTTCCTAGATATCTTACCAAATTTAAATCTATTACGAAAATTAGTACTCATGTTTTTTGGACCTTTATTTTCAAGAATGTAGGACTGCCATTAATTAGTCCTTGTTCCAAGTCTTGGTTGAGAATTGGAAATGTAGTTTTGAGAAAATGATGTCAGTTACTCCAATTCTCAACCAGACTTGGAACATGGAAAATTAATGGCGGCCGTAAATTCTTAGAAATAAAGGTCTAAAAATGCGAGTTATAATTAATGTTTGTAATGGCAAGATATCTAGGAAATACCTATTGCCTACGAAAATGTAAAAAATGGATATAGAGAATTTGATCATAGGGGTACTTTAAGGAGATTATCGATTCAGGGATGAACATTTTCTAAACTTGGTCAGTGGTTGCTTGTTATAAAAAATTTAATTGTAGATTTTATTTTTGTCTGCAAGATCACTTTATCTCAGATTGTCGAACTACAGCTGGAATGGGTATTCTTGTTGTCATCAAAGTTATGTGCCCAGCTGAAAATGTTGTGTCAACAGTAGGTAGTTTTTTGTCTCTTTATCAAATAAGAAAAATTTAGTGATAAAGAATACAATTATGCCAAGAAATTGTGGTGAGTCTCAAGTCAAGGTTTGGACAATGTGGCAATCTCATATTTTGTTTTATTGTACAGAATAGTTCTTTATGTAAAGAGAAGAATTGATCAATGAAAGTATTTCACTTCAAGTGAAAGGCTCAGTGGAAAAAGGTTGTTAGGTATTTTGATCAAAAGTTAACTTTGTCAAAAATGCTCCAAATTTTGCATGCGGTTTTGTCTAGGTGTGTTTAACAATGTCCTGTATTTTTTTCGCTTGAAGTTTGCTTCATTTTTGAGACTTTACGTATGCAAAAAACTTGCATTTAATGTCACATCAGCGCGCTACCACAAAGATGTTGAGTTAAAATACAGCAAAATGTTGATTTCACACAATGCATAAGCTCAAAAAACAGCAGGTCAAAAACAGTTGAAGTGTCGATTGTGTAGTTCCAGAAAACATCCATACCCCCACCACAGAGGGAATTTCATGTAAGCCCCCCCTCCCGGGAATTTCCAATTTTTGAACACAAAAATAACCCTCTCAACCCTTCTGGAATTTCCACAAGTATTATGTACACCCCCCATACCCTCTGGAAAAAATAGTTTTGGCAAGAAAGTGTGGTAAACACTCTAAACTCTCAGCTGTCTGTATTGCATTGCATGTCACTGCTGTTTATTTTGAATCGATCGTAACATCTGAAGATACACACAAAGAAAACACAGAGCAATTTATTTTCAAATGTTTAAAAAAAGTGGAAAGGTAACTTGTCAAATTACCTTCCTATACAACTAAGTCCCTTTGTAAATGTGGTACAATTTTGGTTGATGGACTGATAAGATGAATGGAGACTGTTCGCAGCCTCTCTATTTATGCACACAAAAGAAAAAGCGAGAGAAGCGAGCGCAAAGCACGTAGTGGTGGGGGGTGGGGTTTGCGAGTGAAGCTAGCAAGAAGAATAGAGAGGCTGTAGACATCTTTGGTAGAAAGTGGACTTATTAGGCTCCTCCCCCTGTTATCACCTTGTTACTAACAGCTCCACCCCTTGAACAATTAATGAAATCGGACCAATAAAATTTGAGCAGTAAATTTCTGGTTTAATTGATTACAAGTATCAGTTTGCAAACAACATCACATATGTGTGTTTGTGTGTAAAGAATGTTGTCTCAGACGACTTCTTCAACTCCAAGAAAAGCTGCTAAAAGGGGGAGAAAGCCGAAATCAAGTGCTCCTTCCGATTTTTGTAGGATATGCGCTAGCTCTTTTGCTATTTGCTTGGGGAATCTTGGCGAGACGTCTTACTTATCTGCGGGGAATATATTCTGAAGGTGTTACACGGTGTGGCACTCACCAACTACAATGAGCAAGACACAATTGTTAGCGGAGAATCTTTATTCTATAACATATTTTGGAATTTTGTATCCAAAAAGTCCTCTGTTGTCTTCTGAAAACAAGCTTGTATTTCGCTTCGCCAATCAGCAGAAGCACGTCCTCCTTTGTCTCCTTTGTTGACAAAGTGATGGAAGGAATCCTAAGCTCTTTCATCTCTTCTGATTTTTATAAGCATTCGCACATTTGCATTTCTTTTGCCGTTGTGTAGAGTTGATATATCAGACTTTCCTCAAAGCTGGTCAGCAGAATTGCAACAATGTCTTCTGACCGAAGAAGATGAACAGCAGCCCCTGTCTGTTCATCCTTGAGCTAAGAAACACTGAAATTTCTCTTAACAGGATTCTATTTTAATCATGGCACGAATCATGGCACGTGTCAGTGATGACAACTGCTTCAAGCTGCAAAATGCACCTGGACACAATCAAGATCAGCCGCTGTCAATGGGAATTTTCCATTTGTGGAAAAACTGGGAATTCACTTGTTTCCAAAGATGTCTACAGCCCCTCTATTTTTTTCTCAGTCCCCACCCCCTACCCCATCAAGTCTTCCATTTGGTGCTGGCATCCAGTTCTCTTGCAATTCTATCTATGAGTACAATCAAATAAAAATACGAGAAAATAGAGGGCTGTGAACAGTCTAGATGAATGAGGATGAAATGGACTGCATACTTTTGTCGTGAGCACCATTACTGACACACTCGCGACGAAAGCCAATCTATAGCAAACTTACATACAAATGGACAGAGATAAGCATAAATAAGAAATTCTCAAGTTTGCAAAATCATGACATCATTTCTACGTTTATAAAGAAACTGATTTTCACGAAAGAAATTGACTGCCACTTGACAGCTTCCAAGACCAACAAACTTGGCTGGTCACCAGTGCTCTTCAGTCTACAGGGTGACTCCATGTAGACTAGTAACAGGTAATGGTGGCCATTTCCATGAAACAGCACGTTTTTCGCACTTGTTAGCTTCTAAAGTGCTTTTTGAAGAAAGAAAATTTATTTCAAATATAATGCGATTTAAATACAAGTATTCAAGCTTCTGTTTTTGCCTGTGAAAGATCTACGTAGTTGGTAAGAAAGGATTTTTGAACAGCTAGATCGATGCTTTTAATCCATATTGAGTTAAAGGACATCTGGAAACTAAATTGATCATCCAGCCCCCTCCCCTCTGGAATTTCCTGGGTCTTTGACTCCCCCCCACCCCTCCAGAATTTCCAATTCTCTCGGTGGTAGGGATATGGATATTTTCTGGAACCACACATTTAACGTTAACGCATGATGGTAAGGACATTGATTTCACTTAGAAAACAGCAAAATGCTAATTTCATGCAACATGTAAGCTCAAAAATAGGTCTGCAATGGGCACTGGTGGGCTTATGCTCAGTTTTATTCCATTCAGTTGGAAAATGAAGCCTTGGAGCCAACTGGCTCATAACTGTCAGAGGTTATCCCGGTTTCGGTAGCGTGAAGCAGCTAGGAGTATTCCAACTCCCCCTTGACGGGATGCTAGTCCATCACAGGTCACTCCCCCACTATTTGTTAGGTTTCCTCAACAATTTGCCGGTACTCAATTGTACTCCGGGGTGGAGAGAGGCACTGTGAGAGTTAAGTATCCTGCCCAAGAACACAACACAGTGTCCCTGGCCAGGGCTTGAACCTGGACTGCTCGATCTGGGGAAGAGAGCACTAACCATGAGGCCACCACGCCTCCACCATTCAGTTGGAGTTTGTTTTTAAAATTCAGTACCTGGAAGTTGAATTGCTATAAGTGAGAAGGCAATCACTGCAAGGGTAAAGGTGTTACTTTGAAACTAGAGACATTTTACTTGTGGTAGATGAGAATTCCCCAAGAAACTTGTGGCCCCGTGGTTGTATCCTGGAAGTAAAACCAAACAAGAGGGATGGGCTTGTGAGGAGAGTTGTGCGGAAAACCAAGTCCGTAGTCCTGGAATGTCCCATCAACAAGATCATTCTTCTAGAGGTTGCTAGACTCCAGGAGAGCAGCTAGACATTGTTGATTGTGATCTCCTTGACCAAGAAGTTTGCTTGTAATGCCACACAGCAGTTGTTTCTTTATTGAGTTGATTGTGACAAACCATTTCAAATGGACTTAGTGATAATTTATTATCCAGTGACAATATATTATCCAGTTTTTCTGTTTGAATCACTCAACTAAGTTCAAGGGTCAACCAAAAGGAAATTATGGCCACGAATTTGAGTGAGGAATCAACCATTCATGATCGCGAGAAGCGACCTACATGTAACGTGATCCAGGAAACTAAGAAATTCAACATGAAAATTTGCTTTGGTTTGTAAAATTTCATAATTCAGGCTCAGGCTGAGGCAATGCTAAGTTCTGTGTGTTATTTTTTAAATTTACTGTCAATGAACTCAGACCACAGGGAACCCAAACAACAAAATCATTTACATTCATGTCAACTACAATTGAAGCTCTCCTTGTGACCACTCTTGCAAGCAACCAGGTCTATTTACGACCACCTTTGTGAAACCCTGTTTGAACTGTGACTTAAACTTTACAATAAAAAGCTCTCGTAAGCAACCGTTCCAGAAAGTAACCGCAGGCACTCTTGGGATAACTGTACTCTTCCTTTGTTTTAAGCTTTTGTCTTTTACATATAAATCAACACTTTAAATAAAGTGCACACTGTGCCAATTGTTCTTTGATAAAGATCTTGTACAGTGCAGTGTAGTATAGTCTTTGTGAAAGCTCAAGGTTTCTTTATGAATTATTAATGAGTTTCTGAAGCTTTCGTTAGTGACCATCCTCTATTGTTTAGCATGTGGCCACTTACAAGAACTTATTCTGATCTTGTAAGCAACCAGCTCTAGTTATGAACACTTTTTCAAATTTCTGAGGCGGTCATTTATGAGAGCTTCTACTGTAAATATACTGTTATTCACTAGGCCGGTTAACTAGCTGAGCATTCTTTCTAGGTGTTTGTTTACAGACCAACATTCTCTCTAGTTAAATGTGACTTCTGTCTTCACGAGGAAATTTAACCCAGAAGTTTACCCACTAACCAGTTGATTCGAATTCCAAAACAGCGCAACTTTCAAAACTGGCTGAGAGAGGAAGCGCTTTTAATGACTTTGCTAACCAATTCTGGTTTGAAACCCTTTTGCACAGAAATATCATTGAAAAATGGTGGAAAGAGAACTTCAGAATACCTAGACGTACATTCGAATATATTGTCTGATTGAGTGGCTGGTCTGGATTTGGCTTACTTTTTGTCATGAAAGCAAGTGTTGAAAATGTGATCGAATGAGATTGATGCAATCTGGACACCACGGGTGCAAGATACCCTGCGACCGCAAGTGGATATATCTATCATCTTGGCCTTGGTTACCAACCTAAGCCATGCCGAAGGGTTTGAGATCACTGCAACACCGCAAGTTGGGATTTTATTCACTGCAGCACTGCTTGAACAAGAACAAGCTTAAATTTTGGGCTGTAAGCAATTTTAAAGCTCCTATTAGATTTGCATTCATGAAAATCTTCTCACTCAAAGAAGAAGCCACTAGGAAAAACCGAGTGTTTTTTTGCATATGTAATATCTTGAAAATGAAGCAAACTTCAGTAGGAAAAAATGCAGGACATTGTTAAACACACCTAAACAAAATGGCATGTAAAATTTGGAGCATTTTTGACACAGTTCGCTTTTGATCAAAATACCTAACACCCTTTTTCACCGAGCCTTCAAATGGTTAGACACATTATACTGCAAGGTTAGTGCAAGAAGAGTAGAATGTTGCTCTCTGTATTTGTATTTTACTTCAGATTGAGACTAACTCTGCACACATGGGTCTTAAATAATCTTTTGGCTCAGTGGCCTTGGTTAACTTGAAACTGGATTGCTAAGGTGTTAATGTGTCTGTATTACCTACAGGGTTTTTACGGTTTTGATATGGGATAGGCTGGGTATTGCATTTTGTTCTTACTTTACAGTGGTAGCCTAAACAATGCATCAACATGATGAGCTAGTTCTGCTCATTTTTGTTCTTGTTGCTATCATAGTTTGTATAACCTCCCAAATATCTTCAACATATGACTTTCCCATAAAGCTGTGGGAGAAAAAAACTTTTGAGGCAAGATTTGTGGAGTGACATTGTGACCCTACTTGAACTGGCCGTCTTCTCTGCTAAGACATTCAGCTTATATGGTTATAACTACAGTGGGAAATTTAAAGCTTGATTTTAGGGGAACAAAGTGTCAAAGTCAATAGGTAAAGTTGAGACTATTGTATGCTGAAAGGATCCTGCAAAAATATAAAACCCTGTAGGGGATACACATAAAATGGTTGGTGTAAATTTCACTTTTTATAATCAACAGGTTGGACAGCTGCTTTTCCCCTCACACACTGAATATGGAAACAAAGCTTTCTCCATCTTAAATGACCCACAGATATTTTCTATTTTTCAAAATGATAAAGGTAGGCATTTGCTGATCTAAAGGATAAGAATATGAAAAAAATTCCCAGTGTAGTTTGTCAATTGACAGTCACATTCAGTTGCTTGGTTGATTGTCAAATGTTATGTGGTCGCTCTTATAAGTGAAATAAAACTTCTTTTTGCCAGGCATAAAAAATGTATTAAGGTGGCTGAACACAATTTTCGCTTGCGTTCTTGCCTCTGCAATTCAGCATGCGCACAAGGATTACACAACCCAAACTTGGAATTGATAGAATGATCATTTTATTTACTCAGTGCCTGTGCTATCTGTGCTATTTTTCTTTATAAATGACACAGTGTATTGATGATTTACATCTTTATCTAGAAAGGTATGTTAGGAAAAGTAACCATGCAAAGAACCCAGCGATTCTTGGGTTTTTCTTTGTTACTGATAGAACCGAGTCAAATGTAGGGCATGCATAAGTAGTTCAAAAATTGAGGCTGAATGCTCTGAATAGCTTTTTTGGAAACACACCTATTTGTCGAGTACCACTTGTTAGAATTTCACAAAATTTGGCAAAAAATACTTTAAAAAAATTAATATGTAAATGGAGCTATCAAAAAAAATTCAAATATAACAGAGGAAACTCTAGATATTCCAGTTATCCTTCAACAATGGATAATTAAAAGTCTCTCTATTAAACTATTTTTAAAATAGTGTTAACATGTGAGAATTGTTACAGTCTTGTTGCATGCAAATGATGAAGAAAATTCAATGACTAGATTTTCTGCAAATGAATAAAACCTCTAAAGGAATAAACTCTTTAAAGGTCTGTTCATATTTCTTGCATTCAGAAACTGGAACATTTTACACAAACATAAATGGTTTGGATTTAATTCTTTTTTCGTAAACTGCATGTAAGGGTAATGTGACAAGGAAACTTCTCAAACTCTGTACATAGACTTCATGGCATCTTATAAAACTAATACAGTTTTTCATGTGTTTGGTTGTTTCAAGTCTCAAGTTAGGTAACCCTGTTCACTTTCAATAATGTCTTCTTGTTTAAATGGGTTTTGAAATCGATATTAATTTGAGGTGGTTTCATGGAATATCAAACTGAAAAAAACTATGATCATTGCTGCATGGCAACAAAATAAGACCATGCTATTGCATGACGATGTTATAATTAAATTGGTTTTTGTTGTAAAGTGAGTTGGAAAAGTTATCCAGAATCAACTCCAATCTGCTGTTTACTATTAGCTACTTTTACAGACTCCATGATGTTAAGCTGTCTGGCTGGGAGTAGTTCTATATAGTTCCAATAAGCAAAGCCACTGATCAACTGTTAAAACCAAGCCTTGATAAATGTTCTGTAAGCTTGATATTACAGTTCCTACGGTGAAACAAATTCTAATTTTTTTTATGTCGCTGTACATCATAACCAAACAAACTTGTTGGATTAACCTTACCATATCTGTCAAGAGTCTACTGAGTGCTGCTACCTCCGGAGGCTTTTAATTCACAAAAAAAATAACTCCTGCACGCTTTGCATGCCTGTATGTTTTTGCTGAGCCCCAAAATGAAATTCTAGTCGTGTGTTTTCCTTCCTGTTAAGCATGGTTACACTGTAATAGAGGGGAATGGTTATGAAACCTGACAAAGTTCTTTGTTGTATGTTTTTGTTCACTATTTTGGCCTTGACCACGCACAAAACACAATGGTTGTTTACTCTGTACTGAGGAACTAATCAATAGAAACATGTTGGTTACGTAATTCATGCGTAATTTATGAGCCCAAAACAAAAGATTGTGCAGGGTCGTGGACCTTCCAACATAAATTTTGGCATTTTTGTGTGCTCCTTTGAGGTCTACTGGGCTTCATAACCAGTCCTCTCTATTAACTATGTAAGTAGATGTTTTATTTTTTTCCTTTGTCACTTGTTTAGTTTCACAGGAAGGTTCTAACTAAAAGTCAAAGTTATGTACAAAGTGAAAAGGCTGGACACGTGCACAGAGTAGTTTATGTTGTAACTGATCTTTGTGAATTATTTAAATTGAGACTATAATATGAATTATTCTTTTAGTCTTTTTATTTGATGGTCTCGATTAATGAACTGGACCATTTTGTTGTAGATGTGATAACAGTGATTCTTAAAGATTTGCGGTGTTTACATTTTTTGTCATCATTGTTAATTCCATTTTTTATCAGGAAGTGCCAGTTTTTCCCGTTTATGTCTTTGCCGTGGAGTCTTGGCCATGATTCCTGTACAGTTTTTAGTTCAATCCTCTGAGGTACCAGTTCACTTAAAAGTTTACTTGAATAATTTCTGGTATTCTGGGTTATGCTTACTAATAGATTTTAAAATTTTATATAGCTTTAGAAGTGCCAAGAGCAGTTTGCTGCAAGGGCTGACTAAGGGTCTGCAAGACAGGGATAAAAAAAATCTATTTTCCCAAACTTTCCTAGAATAAAGGCCTGGGTAAACTAGAACCAAAATCATAATTTTTCTGTTTAGAATGTGATATACTTGAAGATGTTTTTGTATTTTGTTCTTGGCAGCAGCCTAAATTGACCTGAAAATCAGGAATTTTCCAGAAGCTCTGTTAATAATTATATTGGAAGCATTTTAGAAAGGAATAACCTATAGCAAGAAATCTATATTGGAAGCATTTTAGAAAGGAATAACCTATAGCAAGAAATCTAAAGTTCTTATTTTCTTTGGTTAGTAGGAATGTAAAATTTAAATGAAAGTTGATCTCAACAGAAATTTTAAATTTATGCTCAGTGACAGAACTGACCACAACCTAACTTGAACTTAATTCAGGGCTCAAAAATGTACTTTGGCCTGTGGCTTCACTCAGGGAAACTATGCTCTGGGGAAGGAAAATCATTTGATTGAAAAGTGACATTGGTCGAAAAAAATTAGGGTAAATAAAATGGTGAATTCTGAGATCATTTTCCAAACATGTCACATGAGTAATCTATTTTTTATTCTTTTTCTTACAACCTCCAAATAAACAATACGCTACTTACAATGTTTACGATTCAATAGGAACCGATCATTTCTGCATTAACAGTAGCAAACTTGTAGCCCCTCTTAAATGTTTACGCAGATGGAACCTTTTGTGGTTAGCAGCGGTCATACATGTATATTAGAGCTGTGTGCTAATTTTATAGGTCTGAAAATTGGGTATCAATTTTCCCCCTCTGGGGAGGGTGTTTTGGAGTTGTAAGTCATCTTGTATCTTACTCTTTCATGTAAGAGATCAGTGCAAAATGATATACTGTCATTGAAACGTCACCCAGCTTCTTTTGAGAGTTGGGTTAGCCATTATATCAATACCTCCAATTTTGCTTCTAGTAAGCATTCTCAGTAGTGGTGATACTTGCACAGTAACCGAGTATCTTCGTCCCAGTTGGTATGGTATTTTTTTAGCGTATTACTGATATGTACCTTTTATGTTATATTAGTAACAGAACAAAGTATGTTTAAAACAATCACAATGTTTGTAACAATTAATAACATTCCCGACAAGTTGATTACTGTCAAAAAATGATATTGAGGTACAGAAGTGCAAAGCCTTACTAGTTTTAGGCAAAAGTTTTCACAAGTAATTGAAAGTTGAACTTGCGTACAGACTTGCCTTGAGAAGGTGAACAGACTTTTGAGTTTATTTGTTAGTGTATGTTAATTAGTATTTTTAAAGGCTGTTA